ATGCAAGGTTGGCTCATTCCGACTCCCAGAGAGATCTAGCTTCCCCTGCCCGGGACATCATTCTCGCCTGACCCTCAATCGCAACATTTCTCGCGCGTGCTTCTGGTCCTAAAGCACAGTTAATAAATACAACTCAAGTAATGCGCAGGGGAAAAGTGAAGCTGACTTTTTAAATCTGTTAACGCGTTCCCCCTCGAAAAATCGCTTCGCGCCCCCCCCCCCACTACACCCTTGCTCCTCCACCCAGGGTTGTCTTGAACAGAGACAACCTGGTGGGCAGGAAGTAACAGGTCCTGTACCAGCAACCGTTGGTTGGACACATGGTCCCGCCACCTGTACCCCATGATCTGGCGCAAGGATCTGTTACAAAATGCATCAAGACGAGATTCTATAGCATCCAGGTTTCACTACCATATCGTAAAACTGGCATTATCAGAGCCCTCAAGACATGTAGCTTGGTCCTTCTGCACAGGTACCGGCATCTTCAAATACTCTTGTTGAGAGATTTCATAACCCCTGCTGCCAGGCCAAACCGTCTACTGACTTCCTAGTCTGACAGCCTAAAGTCATGAACTGCACTATAGAGGTATATAAGCTCTCTGTGACCTCAATGTTTTCACCGCAAGCACGTACCGACTGAAAAGGGTCTCCTAGTAGGACACCAAAATCCTGGATCTTGGTCTTGGTCCAAGAGACCTTTAGCCCTTTAACTCCTGAACTAACAGGGAAGAAACTCGACAGGCCCCTACCACACTTTACAGCATTTTCAGTGCCTGTATACAGTTTTGCTATTAATCCAATATTCCTAGTTGGAATTCGTCTTAGTCTCAGGATCTCCCAGAGTGATTCGCGATGCACGTTATCAAATGCCTTCTTGAGGTCGATGTAAGCTGCGAGTAGGCCACGTCCAAACTCACGAAGCCGCTCTAAAATGACTCAAAGCACCCGGATACGGTCTATTGTGGACTTACCAGGAGTGAATCCAGATTGCTCCGGCCTCTGGTGCCTCAGC